ATTGGAAACAGAATGTTAGTGCTCTACAAAGCAAAAAAAGAGTGAGCATTCTTGAAGTGAGTGAAAAGGTGAGAAAGATAATGACATGACCTGAGGAGGAACCAAGTGGACATGCTAGAACTGAGAGTAGACTAGAGCATTGTCTAACGTTCTGTTTCCAATACCTTCAACATTTGGGGTTTGTCTTCATCAACACTTATCAGTTGCCTTTCTTGTTTTGGTTTTATTTTTATTGCCTGTTCATGCTAATTGAGATTTTCTTTACTCTTTGTATGCTATATTGCCCTGGATTAAACAGTAGACAATTGGAAGGAGGAGACAGTGGACTTAAACATTGACTCATAGAAATTATGTAAGATGAAGGAGAGGAAAAATCTTTTTTAAAAAAATGATTTGAGCCTCAAAAATCTGGTAGAAAACATCAAATTCATGTCAAGAAAATTCAGAAACCAAGAAATAATGTAGTACTCGTTCCCAAATTTGACAAAAGGAACAACTTACAGAAATACGGAATTGAGTGACCTCTAAACAGGCTAACTTCAAATCTATGCCCATTAAACTGCTGGAAAATAAAAGCAAAGAAAATACGACAGAGAAAACACTTTGGAACCAACTAGAGAAAACGATGTGTTACTTATAAGAGAACAATTGAAATAGCTGTAGGTTTTCACAGAGGACAGAAAATGTTAGTGCTGAAAGAAAAGAAATATTAACATGAAATTTTATAGGCAATGAAGATAAACCTCAGAAATAAAACATTCTCAGGTAAAATAAAATTAAGAGAATTGCCATCCAACTTGCTCTAAAACAATTGCTATCAGAATTGAATCAAAAATCAAAAAATTTCTCAAATCTTAGAATTAACTGATTTTAATGGTGAATTCTTCCAAATATTCCAAGAACAAATTTCAATCCTTTACAAACTCCTCTAAAAATGTAGGAAAGGATGGAACATTTTGCAGTGTATTCTCTGAAACTAGTATTACATTAGTATGAAGACCATACAATAATATGAGAAAACTATAGACTAACTCCTCTTATAATACAGATATTTTAAAAAATCTACAACAAAATATTACCAAACAAAATCCAGCAACAAGTCAACAAGATTGTGCATCATGACCAAAGAGGATTTATCTTAGCATGCAAGGTTGGTCTAACCTACAATAATCAATTTATATAACACACCATATTAAGAAAAAAACAAAGCTAGACAGTCATCTTAGTCGGATCCCCTGGAGCTGAAGTTACAGGTGGTTGTGAGCCGCCTGACATTGCCATGGGTCCTGGAAACCAAACTCAGGTCTTCCACAAGAGCAGTACGCACTCTTAACTGCTGAGCCAGCTCACCAGGCACAGGTTCCCATTGCTTGAACAAATGATCACAAACTCTAATAAACAAACTCTTGGTTTATAACAACTCAAATTTGTTATCCCACTGTCTCAGAATGCAGGAGTCTGAAGTGATGTGTTAGGTGATTTTTCATCATTGTGACCAATATCTGACAGAATCAATGTAAGGGAGACACGAGGCCCATCAGGAAGAGGGAGGTATGGTGACGGGACCTGCTCCATGGGGGTGGCTAGAACATGTGGCAGGTGTGCACATCACCCAGCAGACAAGGATCTGATGGCTCAGGCTGGAAGTGAAGCCTGGCTATACCCCTGAAGGCCTACCCTGGTGGACTATGTCAATGCCAAAGATCCACAGCTCGCTTTGAACCAAGTAGCCAAGAGAATGAACCCACAGGGGTACATTTCAGATTCCACCATAGCAAATAAAATGAAGGTGTCAGCAGGTACCTGTTCCTACTGCAGACAGGGAAACATCTGTCCTCTAACCTTGTAACCTTCTAGAAGCTTCCTACAATCCTTTACTCACAGACCATTTATCCATTTTCGAAATTAGCAACATAGCATCTTCAAATATGTCTAACTTTGCTTTTATTGGCCTGTATCTTTCTTTGCTTTTTTTTTTTTTTTTTTTTTTTTTTTTTTTTTTTTTTTTTTTTTTTTTTTTTTTTGTTAAAGGATCTTGGCAATCCTTTAAAATATAGAGACCACCAGGATAATCCAGGATGACCTAAAGTCAAGATCCTGTTAGAACTACACACATTAGCTTCGTGAAGCCCTCTCCCTGTCAACGCATGCCAGGTGGGTCCCCTCCTCAGTGTCCTCACCCATTGCCGGTGTTTACCCATAACGTGTTTTTGTAGTGGTTTACATTTCCATCTCCCCTTGTGAGTGGGGGGCTGCACTTACTGTAGCACAGACGTTACTGAACACTTCTGTGAATGAGTGAGTGAACATTGCCTGGCAAGTGAGTGATGGGGTCAAAGACACAAGCAGCCTGGTGTGACATGCGTGACTGTGTAGTGACTCGCTCCCGGGGTTTCAGCTTCTGTGAGTCCAAGCCCCTGTCCTCTGTGAAACGTTCTCCTCCCCTCCTGCCACTGCGCTTCTGTCACCATGCTCTCTCTGTCCCCTGTGGAGTTCCCCTCAGGATCCAGTGGGTTTTGTGGCGTTCGCCCTCGTCCCACGAGGTATTTGATGGCGCAGCAGGGCCGTAACTGGAGAATTCACTGCACACCCTCTCTGCCTCGGTGTTCCCAGGCGTGACAGGCATGATGGCATCAGTGTGCTGTTGGCGGTGGAGGGGCGGGCGGCGGCCGAGAGAGGGCAGCGAGGCTGGGGGGGAGGCTAGAGGGCGGGCGAGCG